GCAGCCCAGCTCCAGGTTGAGCTGTTGTTCACCATCTTAGCTGTAGAGGGCAGTGTCACTGGCCCTCATGTGGGATCCGAACTGGGGCCCTGCTGCTTAGAGCTGGCATCCCCAAGCCAGCTCTCTGCGCCACCAATGCGCCACTCGCCCAGCCCAATATTACCTTAGATTTAATAAGATATAAAGTTTTGCTTCTCCTACTTATGTTGTCATAAAGTACATCTTTATACATTGTGTGCCCATCAACATAGATTTATAATATTGCTTTATGCAGTTGTCTTTTAAATCAGATAGAAGAAAAAAAAAGGAGTTAACAAACAATAAATACATTTATATTTTCTTTTAATATTTACCTATTGTATTAATTTCTTAGGGCTGCAGAGTACCATAAAGTGGGTGGCTTAAAGTGACAGAAATGTATTCCCTCCCACTTCTGGATGCCAAGCCTGAAATCAAGATATTAGCAGAATTGGTTCCTTCTGGAGGCACTGAAGAAGAACCTGTTGCAAGCCTCCTAGCTTCTGGTGACAGCTGACAATCCTTGGTGTTAACTATGCTTGTAGAGGCAGTACTCCAATCTCTGCCTCCATCTTCACATGGTATTCTCCTTGGATATCTGTGTCTTCATATGGCTGTCTTCTTAGATGCACACCAGTAGAATTGGTTTGGGGGCCTATCATGATCTTATCTTAACTAATTACATCTACAGTGATTCTATTTCCAAATAAAGCCTCATTCTGACGTTCTGAGTGGGGGCTTATGATTGTTCCAACCAAAAGAGGGCAACAGAGGAGATGCTTTGTGAAAGGAAGGGAGGGAAGGAAGAGTGGGAGGGAAGAAAGAAAGAAACGGGGTCAGCTACCTGTCAATCATTGATTTTTAAAATATTTATTAAGCGCTTAACTATGTGTCATGCACTGTTCTAGGTGCCAGGTACATGTCAAACAAAAATCCCTGCCCTCATGGAACTTGCATTGTAGGGATGGAGAGAATGAGATAATAAAACAAGTAAAGTAAAATGTGTTAGGCTGCTATGCATGTTACAATTTTAACTAATCACAAGACCATGTTTTAAAAAAAGACTATAGAGCAAAATAAAGCTGGAAAAAGTGATAGTGCTGGGGTTGGCTTGAGGGGATTAAACTTTAGAGGTCAAGGAGGTTGGTTACATTTGAATAGCTGAAGAAGGTGAGAGATTTACATTTCTAGGAGAAGATGGTCCAGGCCAGTGGTTTCAGCAAGTGCACAGGTCCTGAGGCCAGAGGATGCCTCTCTGTTGGAGGAACACAAGCGGGCAGAGGGCCTGGAACAGAAAGAATGAAAGGTGGAAAGGCAGGCATGGTTGGGCTTTGTAGGGCATTTCAGTGATTGGAGTTTTTAGGCTGAGTGCAAGAGAAGCCATTAGTTTTAAGCAGGGGAGTGATAATGTAATTTAGCTTTTTACAAGATCATTTTGACTTCTGTGTTGAGGACAGTCTGAAGGAAGCAAATAGTGGAAGCAGAGAGACCAGTTTATGTAGGCTATTATAAAAGTCCAGGAGAGATGCACATGGTTTGGACCAGGTGGTAGCAGTGGACAAATTCTAGTATAATTTGAAGATAGAGCAAACCGGATTTGCTGACAAATACGGTGTGTGAAAGAAAGAAGAGATAAATATTACTGGAAGGTTTCAGTCTGAGCAACTGAAAGATGAGTTGTAATTAACTTAGATGGGAAGACTGGGAGGAATGAGTTTATAGGGATAGGTCAGGATGTGTTAAACTTGAGATGCCCTTCAAGTGGAGATAGGTAGTTGAATATACAGGTCTGGCATTTAGGATAGAGGTCTGAGCTGGAGAAGTTGGGAGAGGTCAGCATATGGCAATATTTAAAACTGGAAGACTGGCTGAGGTCACCAAGAGAGTGAGTGTAGATAGCAAGGAGGAGTTCCAAGTGTTGAGTCATTGGGCACTCCAATATTAGGATGTCAGGAAGACTGAGGAGCAGACAGTGAAGCTGGATGCAAATTAAGAGGGCAGGATGTTCTGGAAGCCAAGTAGAGAACATATTTTAAGCAGGGAGGTGGGGAGGGGGTGATCAATTGTGAAGTGTTGCTTATGTGCCTAGGTAGGGTAATAAAAGAACTAACCACTGTAACATTACAAAGTCTTTGGAGAGCTTGAGTAACACAGTTTCCGTGAAGTGGTAGGAACAAGAGCATGACTGGAATGGGTTCAAGAGAGAATTAGGAGAGAAGGATGGGAAATAGCAAATAGGGACTTTCTCTTTTAAAGATAGAAGAAATAAAAGCATATTTTATGCTAATAAAAAGAGCTTTGCTTTTCCAGTGAGGGACCTAGCCTCACCCATACTCCCTTCTTTGGATGTCACAATTTGGATATTTGCTGTTTCCTGGAACCCTCACTTTGAGGAGTGTTAGTAGGCAATCTGAACTGATATGGAGCTGAGAATTATGAACATCAACTTATTTTATATGAGGAATTCTCTTCCCCCAAACTTTTGGTTCCCGCTACTTTGAGGAATATAACACATTTTAGATGTGGCCCAGAGTCCTCAGGCTCAGTGGGATTGCATTTCCCTCATTTAATTATTATTTGAATTGTTCTTCCTACTTGTAATTTGGTGCTCTCTCCCCACCTCATAGGTAACCCCCTTCCTCTGTTGCTGTATGATGATGGGTGTTTTACCGATTCTTTGGAACTCCCGCTTCGAAGGAATGGCAATGACCAAAGACATCCGAAGACATCCGAAAAACTTAACGTGAAGCCTGTGGTGGTCGCTCGGGTGTTCACAAATGTCTCACCCATTCTGAGCACATGGTAGGAGTGCCACTCTCAGATCTGGCCATCTGATTTGCCCTAGCCAATGAAATGTAGCCAAAGTGGTGTTTGTCCCTTCCCAGCACAAGCTTTAATAATGAGTGAACAGTCTGCCACATTTCCTTGGTCGTCAGCCATGGTGGAGGCATGTGTTGAGATGCCTCTACCAGTCAGGGTCTGAGTCATAGCAATGAGCAGAGCCCCCTTGCTAACCCTGGATACACATCTAGTATGAGAAATGAACTTTAATTTTATTAGCTTTATCTTGGGATGGCAGAATGCAACCTATCCTGACACAATGCCTAAGGACAAAAATAAACTGGTGTTCCAGTGCCATTATGAATGAGCGATAGATTGCAAATTTCAGGATGCAAAGCTTTTACTTTCCCATATGAGGGGCAGGCAAAAAGCAAAACAAAACAAAACAGGAAAAAACAACAACCCAGTAAAGAACACAGGTAACAAAACTTTACCTCACTGTCAGTTCTCCATTAAATAAAAAAACGATTGAACCTTAAAAATATTAACCTTTAAAAAATATATATATTTCTCTCTTAACCAGGAGGAGAACTTTGCTTCTTGGATTTAGCTGGACTACCGAAAATGTAGTTGAGTGTATTTCAGACACTGTTCCCTAGGCTATCTGCATTAGATCCTCCGGGCCGCTCATTCCAAATGCAGATGCCCTGGGCTTGGCCTCTTAGAAGAAGGCTGTTGTTCTTAACTCCTAGAAGGTTCTGTTATCTAGATCTTTATTTTTATGTGTGGTATACTACAAAAATTATTTGGTCTTTGTTCTCGCTTCCTGCTACAGAGCTGCCAAAACTCTTGGAATTTTCTGAGTGGTAGGAGTGTATTTTGTTATTCTTAATGAGCCCCTGAGTTTATGCTAATGAGGTCCCTTAGGGTGGGGCTTCTATTATAGATAGCCTTAGGATGAAGCTGGTCAACCCAATGACCTCCTGATTAGACCTCCTGACCTACCTCCAGGAAGTGGGTGGGGGAGGGTGCTGGAGATTGAGCTCTATTAAACTCTTGAACAGATTCAGAGTTTCTGGGTTGGTGAACACATCAAAATGCTGGGAGGATGGCATACCCCTGCCCTTCCTTGCCCTACATATTGCTTCCATTTGGTTGTTCTTGAGTTATATCCTTATAATAAACAGGCAAATGGAAGTAAAATGTTTTATTGAGTTCTGTGCTCTAACAAATTACCGAACTTGAAAGGGAAGGGAGTTGTGGGAACTCCCAATTTTATAGCCAAGTTGAACAGTAGTGTGGGTAACCTGGGCCCCAATACTTGCAGCTGGCAATTGAAGTGAAAGCAGTCTTGTGGGACTCCCTTAAACCTGTGAGGTCTGACAATAACTCTGAGTAGTTAGTGTCAGAATTGAACTGAATTGTAGGACATCCAGTTGGTATCAAGAGAATCACAGAATTGGTTTTTGATGTAGGAAAACACCCTAGAAGTATGTTACCAACATAACACTGAAGTTCATTTCAACATAACGTCTCATTGAGTTTACACATGCTTCTATATTAGAGATGTTAATGTAAGAGACAAATCACAATTCTGAATAAAAGAATTTTATTTAGTGGTCAGAGCCTAATGAATAATGCCACTCATTGCTTGATTCTGCTAAAATGTGCCATTAGATATGCTCTTTAAAAAGTGTACAGTGCATCACCAAAAGCTGTTTAATTTGGATCGTGTCGAGTAAAAGAAAAGTTCATAAATGTTTGTTCTCTGATAAAATTTTTAAAATATAAAAATGAAAAAAAACAAAACCCAAAAGCAGTATTCCAAAATAATAAATGTCACCTTAGATTATTTACAGTAAGATGCCTTTTTAATAGAATACTCTCTGCTTGATTTCTTTCCTCACATTTTACTTATCAATTATAAGTATTCTCACTCTTCCATATGACCCTTACTCATTTTTTTCCATTCCTGTCTTCCTTAAAATAATCATCTTCTATTCTCTCTCACTCGTCTTTTAGTCTTTCTTGATACTCCTTTTTCCTACTCTTAAATTACCAACAATTCTATTCAACAGACATTTGTTGAGCACCTATTATGTGCCAGGCACTGTGCTAGGAGGTGGAGATAAACACAGAGATGAAAAGTCATTGACCCCCCCATACCCCCACCCACCCAAGAAGCTGAGTTTGACCCCACACCCCACCCCAAGAAGCTGAGTTTGGGTTGAATTTAAAAACAATGTTTTTCACATTACAGTTCATGAAATCCCAGTCCCTATAAAGTAAATGTGGGGATTTCTTGAAACAAAGTGCACTCACAAGAGGGTCTGTCAACTTGGCCTACTCCAACACATGCTGAATATAGAATTCTGTTCTTCTTTATAAAGCACAGCCTCAAAAGCCCAGGCCTACTGTTTGAGTTCCAAACTCTTAGCTGGTGGCAACTACGTGTTAGGCAGTCGGGGACAGCTGTGCCCATTTTTTTGAGGGGAAACGGTAATTCTTTAATTGGCTTCTACAAATTCCAAATATGAAAACCCCTTAACCTCCCCAAAATACTAAATTTGAGCTATCAATACATATTAAGAAACTCTCCCCTGATCTGGACTTGTAACAAGATGCTCTAAAACTCCTGTCTTTTATAAATGTCCAGCGGGAGCTCATTTATTACCTCCACATGTTTCTTTGTGCTTTTCTGTGAACATTTTCTTAGCTTGAAACATAAAAGCAGCAAATTAAGCCTGCAGGCCACCTTTTTGTTTTTCCTTTTATCAGGGTTGAACCCAAAACAAGCTCATCTCTTGCATTTGGCCTCTATCTTGGTCCATGAAGCCTTGAGAAACCCTTAAGTAGTTACTGAAAAAAAGAAGGCAAGCCATGAAATATAAAACGAAAACTATACATAGCATACTATAAAAGCAAAAACGAAATTGCACCCTCGCTGCTTCATCTTGTTCCATGCCTCGTAGACGGTGTCCCTACAAATATTCACATTTAGAAGTACTTCTCAGTCACAGTAAAGTCCAAATCACCATGGGGTGCTTCACCCTCACAGTTTGTAGCGTATTCCTTTCACTGAATCCTCACAGCCAACCACTGAACAATGATGGAGTTTTTGTGGGAAAGTTCTATCCTTGATCCCATGCCTTTCCACAGTTTACACAGGGTCACATCTCTATTCAGTTTCCATCCGATTAGATGAGACTCTATACATTCAAGAGTGTTAGTGCCAGATTCAGAACTTCCTCATGAGCTGGTTTCAAGCCCTTTGGATCTGAAGGCAACTTCGGGAATTGACATTATTCCCATGTTACATTTGGCCTGCCCTACCCTATAGTAGGGTGATCACGATGTCTGAAATATGTGAAGAGAATGAGAAGAGCAGGAAGTGTTGGGAGACAGGGAAAAAGGTGATCGTGCACAAGCTTCTTGCTCTGTCGTGCATATATTTTCAGTGTAACGGGGTATTTTGACACATAAAGGCTTGTGCTTTTTTGTTAAAGAAATAATACCCTGAAAAGCTCATTTGGCAAATGTGTCCATGAACGTGTGTGTGAATGTGTGTGTGTGTGTGTGTGTGTGTGTGTGTGTGTGTGTGTGTGTGTGTGTGTAAAATGTGTCATGAGGTTATGTGTCAAGTCCTGTGAGTGTGTCCTCCTGGCCCCTCCCCCACTATTCACACCCACCTCACCAGCAAGGAAAAACTGATGGGTTACACCTGGTCAGTTTGATATTCAGAAGCTTCGGACAGGGTTTCTGAGAAGCTTAAGAAATTCTCCTGGTACTCGGAACAAACAATCTCGTAACGGTAATGCCGGAACTCCACAGCAAAGGTGCCAAAGTAAGACAGGAAGCACATGACCAGCCCCCACTGGACCCGGGCTGCATACATGTGGATGCCTTGGGCCATGAGGATGAAGTCTGGGAGAAGCAGTCAAGGAAAGAGCCATCAGCCATATTACATAAAACTAGAAAGTGACAGGTTACAGGAAAAACTGGGCCCTTCCCCTCACTAGCATGAGTTAGCTTGACAGAATTTGCTGAGGACAAACATCTACATGAACACTAGGTAACATTATCTAACTCTTACTTTGTGCAACATGTTTCTATTAATAGGTGCTTTCGTGGAAAAGTCCTGTTATCATCATCAGTTCATTTAAAAATAAACAGGCTGAATGGGTAAGCTACTTGCCTGCAGTCATACAGGTGTTAATTGGTGGAGCTGGGATTCAAATTCAAGCACTCTGACTCCCAGGCCATACATTCAACCATTATATGGCCGCCTAATAAACTGAGATTAGCAAGAGGATAACAATTCCAAAGTAAGTACTTGGCCAGAAAAGTAAAGTTATCTTTTTAAAAATCACTGCAAATGACTACGGATTCATAGTCATCATTCTATCTGCAGAAACAATTTTGAACACATCGGATTGCTAAATACTTCCATATAAGCTGCATTTATCTCTGCAGTGTTACAATAATGTCTTAAGTGGTCCCTCTTCCACTTCTCTCTAGTTTTCACTATCGTCTTTCAGACAATACCATATAGGCAGTTTCATTCCTGGTGTCACACTTAAACTTGTGCCCAAATGAAAATATTCAATTAAAAAAACAAACAGATAAGACACCTATGTCTTAATATATATGGAGTGTGTGTGTGTTGGGAAAGGTTCATAGCATGCTGTAGTGAAAGACAAAGAGGCTAAGGACTAAATACATTTATTTAGAAAAATCAAAAATGTCCTCTTAGAATTAGTTCTATCTCCAGAACTTAGACTTAAAATCTTGGGAAATTTTCAGAGAGTATGTTAACCTATTTCGGCCAAACGTTGCCCTCTGGATCCATTCACCTGGGAAAAAGAAACGGTTCCATGTGTTCAGAAATAAAATGGCAGAATCGCTTGGTATAAGCTCAAAACTCAGAATAATTTGAAGTCTGTACATACTCTTCTGACTGAGGATTCAAAATATTGCCAAATCAATATTACCTAAGTTAATGGGGAAGGGATGAATCTTCCCATTAACTCCCCAATCTCACACTGGCAGAGTTCTGACCTTTTCACTCAAATATTTTATCAGGTTACTAGCAATAAGAATGTCTTTTGGCTTGATTTTCAAGTTCTTAAATGTCCTCTAATGTGACTGCAGAACTTGAAAAAAAGTAAAATGATTGAATGGCAGTTTGTGATGGAAGAAGAAATAACAGACTCCACATACTCCACTAAACTAGAGACCATCTATGAACGCTAAATCTTTTCATATTTTAAAGCCATGTTCTCCAAGATAATACATGTATTGGTTAAGAGTGTAAGAACTGAGCCTGAGTTTAAATCAAGGTACTGATTTAAATCACATATTGTGTGCGATCTTGGGTAAATTAATCTTTGTTCTTCCCTATTCTTATCTGTTAAGTGAAGATTAAGGAAGTTGATACATCTGAAGGACTTAGGATAATGCCTCGCACATATAAGTGCCTAATAAATATTGGTTGTTAGGAGATTGAAGATGTGTAACTGTGTTAGCTACACAGTCTACCACCTAGGAACCTTATTCCCATCTTCTCTGGTTTCCTGAGGAGAACCTATGGGAGTGAACATTTACAATCACTCCGCCCCACAGAACAAATGAGCAATCTGATTGGTGAGAATGGAATTGGTCATCTTCCATTGGGCCATGCCACCAGTAGATGGAGTCACTGTGCTCCATCCTAGACTACCTCTCTCTCTGGGATCTGTTAAGGCAGCGGTTCTCAACCTGTGGGTTGTGACCCCTTTGGGAGTTGAACGACCCTTTCACAGGGGTCGCCTAAGACCATCAGAAAACAAAAAGATACTTACATTACGATTCATAACAGTAGCAAAATTACAGTTATAGAGTAGCAACGAAAATAATTTTATGGTTGGGGGTCACCACAACATGAGGAACTGTATTAAGGGGACACGGCATTAGGAAGGTTGAGAACCGCTGTGTTAAGGGTTAAGCTGAGAGAAGCACTCTCCTCTTCCTTTCCCTGGTTTCTCTATTTGTTACTGGGTGGATAAGTTGATTTCCAGGGTGTGAGGTAAGATGCCTGCGGAATTTTCCTTTCCAAATTTACCAGGAATAAAGGCTGATTTCTTCATCCCCATCTGGCTCCTTGTGTTCTCCATTGGTTTAAATCCTTAGGGAGGAAGGGAAAGAAAGAGCACCTCAAAACCTCTAAAATATTTGGTTAGGACAACTATATATATGGCGGTAACCTAATTCTTGATTTTGTTTCCCAGAAAAGTGTATTTTCCTCAAAGATATAAATGTATTTGTCCTTGGAAATTCATTTTACAGCTAGTAAATTAAATGAAATAACAGGACCATTAATAAAATCACAAATGAAAAAAGAAATTTTAGGATGGAGGGAAAAAAATCATAAAAAATCTTGGTTATGCATTCTATGTTTTTCATAAAGGGAAACTTACATTATTAGTAAGTAAACTTTTATATTATTATATAAGGAAATACATGACACCACTTCTACAGATTAAAACAATCTTAAGATGGCAGAGCTTGTCTTATTTTCAGTTCTCCATTTTTTCTTTGGTATAAAAATAAGTCTGAGAGTTTTTGTTTATATACCCATTTACTTTTCTATTTTGTCTAAGATTTGGAGATGATCTGACAGTCTATCCTAACCAATTGGGAAAGGTCAATTTTCTAATCTTCTACACAGACAAGCTATCTGTGTTCTAATCTCACTGGCAAAGAACCTTTTCACATTCAAAGGATACAGAGGACTACGCAGAGAGTGATAGATGCCGAGAGAATAACGCGTGGAATTCCAACTTTCCGTCCTTCATTCTTAATGTTGACTCTGAGAGTCAATGCAGCCTGGATCCAGCAGGTCAATGTGCCAAATCCAAAGGTCAAGGAGGTTCCGACATTATGGATTTCCTCATCATTCGTGAGCTAAGGAATGAACAGATGGTGACCTGTGGAGGCCCACTTAGAAAAGACAAAAGCCAATGGAATATGTGAGGGAGAAAAAAATAGGTGAAGTGATATCCCAATAATGGGATGATAGACTTTACAAAGTTAGAGTCCTTCATATCCACTGGCTCCTTGTGTCAGTCAGTTCTCCTCAGTTGGTTTGAACTCTGAAGAGAAGAAGGGAAATAAATAGTACCCTCAAACCTCAAAACATTTGTTTTGAAAAACCATACAGGCAGTCATGATCTATTTCTTGAATTTATTTTCCAGAAAAGCTTTGTGGAAAAGTCAAAGAAAAAAACAGAAATGTTACACAAAAGAGAAATGTCAAAGTTTCTATAATCATACACCCCAAACTTTGTTTTCCAGACTAAGATGAGATCTGGGATCTGGCTGTGTATTTACTGATTGAGGAAGACCAGTTCTAAGCAAGTCAAGATTTTACTGGCATAGACAATTAATAACACTTGGGTTGTTCTTTACTCCTACAAAACTGGCCTGTCTCGGTAGTATGACCAATTCATTATTAATGGGATTTTGTTTTATTTTCTTATTATAATAAAACTGCTGCCTATGAGCTTTTATAATAAAACTGCTGCCTATGAGCTTTTGTCATATCTGTAGACCCATTAAGCACAACAGTGTTTGAAGACTTCTGCTCATGGCATTTATAGAGTTATGGGTCAAAGGAGACCCAATTGGGTATTTCAATTGGAGGTTAGAGATGTAAACTCCCCAAATCATTATGTACTATTTTAAATTTAAAAAAAAAAGATTTTATTGGGGAATTGGGAGAGGGCAACAGCATTGGGGAATCGAGGAAGGGGAACAGACAAGTTGCTGTCCTTTGGTTCTTCAGTCTAGTTTTGGAGGACGTCACTTCACTGGCCCATGTTGGTGTTGTGATCATTGCGCTCTTCCCGGCTGAGGCAGATCGGTTGCCGGCCATTGGACGGTCACTCACGGCAGCTCACAGCAGCTCATGCCAGCTGCCGGCCACTCATGCTGGCTGCTGGCCACTCATGGTAGCTCACGGCAGCCCACTACAGCCTCACTGCAGCCTACACTGTTGACGGCGACTCACAGCAGCCCAGCTCCAGGTCGAGCTGTTGTTCACCATCTTAGCTGTAGAGGGCGCAGTGTCACTGGCCCATGTGGGATCCGACCAGTGGCCCTGCTGCTCAGAGCTCACACTCCCAAGCCAACTCTTAATCAATGAGCCATTCGGCCAGCCCCGATTCTAAAATTTTGTCACTTAAAACACCTTTAGTAATTATATATATTTTAAAATAGACATATACAAAAATCTATTTTGAAGACATGGCTTTTAAAACATGGTGAAAAAAAATTTTTTTAATTGCAATTGCCTTTAGATGTTTCATTGTTTGACACTGCTTTGAATAGTGGTTGTATCAAATCAATATTTCCTTTTACAATTTTTTCTATTTGTTTTTGTAGGATTTTTTTTCCCTCTTCTTTGGAAGTAGTCACTTTTTTCTCTCATAGTTCAAAAGACATATTTTCAAAACTTAAATAATGATTCCTCAAATCAAATTTTATTTGTAGAAAATTGGTTTTCTAAACTAAATTCTATTCATTTATTATTTTTAACCTAATTTTAAAAATAGATAATATAGTTACATGTTTCAAACTCGAAAATTATAAAAAGAATATAGATTGAAAAGTCTGTCTCGTAATACTAGCCACCTGGTTTTCCACAGGCAACTACTCTGTTATTTGTTTCCTGTGTATTCTCTGTAGATATTCCAGTGACTGTTCATCATACGTAGTGTCATCATTCATGGCTTTGACTATTTGTGGTTCACCAAAACAACCCAATCTCTGGGTTTTTCCTAGGACGTTAGTAAAAAGCAAAACATCTACTCAGTAACTTCCAGCCAAGTTCTGATTGAGAGAAATGATAGTTCTTGAGCACTTCACAACATGTCAGTACCTGCAGCACAGACAGGAAAGTGAGGGAAAGACTCCCACCAAAATCTCGATAAAAATGCTACCATTTCAGAGTTTAACAGGATAAACTCTCAAATATTCTCTTGGTAATTCATTGTCCTAGTCAATATGTTTTATAATTGCTGCTTTCTTGTTGTCTATCTTGATATGGGATGAGACCTAGAATAGTTAAGAGGAATTGGTGGGATTGCCTATCAAACGACCCATGAAGTCAAAAATACTTATTGAGTTGCTACTATGTGCCAGGGGAAGTGCAGGGGAATGAGTTAGCCTGGTTTAATGAATTATCAGGACTGAGGATCTTATTATCAGGACAAGAGGCAGTCTTAGAAAATCCACTATCATATTTTTTTTTAAGCTGAGCCATCCTACCACCTGTTGGCAGCTCAGTGGCTGTTCAGCTTGGTCCGGGACTCGAACCACTGTTGCTCAGAGCTCAAACTCTTGAGCGAGCTCTTAACCAACTGAGGCTCTCGGCCGGCCCTTATATTGTCTTGAATGTCTATGCCATTTGGATTTCACTCAGTAGAAGGGAGAGATTGGTGAGGATCAGTGTTTGATTGCAAGAAGGAAGTTTCTAGCAGTGGTATATAGCATAGTCTAGAATGATGCTGGGGAGGAAAGGGAGGCAGGAAAATCAGACAGCTACTGTAACAGTGCAGGGTTCTCCTTGTCTATTTTACAAATGAAGTCATTCAGGTTAGGAGGTGGTGATGGTATTGGCAAGAGAAATTATTCTTCAGTGTTGTGACCTTGGGCTTCTACATTTCTGGGAAGAAGAGTTAGTGTATTATCCTTACACAAGTCATAGGTGTTCTACAGAAATTCTGACCTTTCAAACTTGACTCCCATATGAGCTTGCTAATCTGAAAAGCAAGCTTTCATGCAGAAAGGATACTCATTGTTTAATTTTAGAAAGGCAATGATTCTATTAGTTTTCTAGAAGGGTACACTAAGATACAATTTGTTACAAAAAAAAGTGTAAAGCGCTTTGAAATCCTTTGTAGAAAATATAGTAGCTACTTTCAGTAGCTAATTTTCCTAATAACAATGCTTTATTTCCAGTGCGTAGTGAGCACCCTGGTGTATAATGTGAACTTAGGTAGACCAGGCTGAGAAACCATAAAGGGTTGACTTTTGGAGAACTTGTGCATATTAGGAACTACTATTAGCAGTTTCTTTTAAGATTCGTGCAGAATTATATGGGCCACACAGTGACTACCCCTCAGTAGCTATGATAATCATATAGGTGAGGTGTGCGATGGAGGTGAAAAAGGCCAAATGAAGTACCTGAAAATTACCAAGTAAGGTCATTCCAAAGGAAGCCAGACACAGTGCCACCAATCCACTAATATTCAGCCACGGATTTAAAACCTTTGGTTTCAGTTGTATGAAGCGAAGAACAGCTACCACAAGAGCTGAGAATAAAACAAAATGTTAAAATTAAAAAGTTTAAATCACACACTCAGACTATGAGGCAGAGTTCTAAAGCCACAGTGTACAAAGTTAAACTTTTCACCACAGTGCATTTTTAAACCTCTGAAACAACAGACAATTTTTAAAAGAAATTTTTCATGAGATGCTTATGATTATGTAGATGTTTTATTATATCTAACTTGGGGGAAGCCAAGAGGAGTTGAAGCAGCGGTGCTATCTGTTATGTGAGTGATTAGGAGGATGATAGAACTGTTAATAGTGTTGTTCTCAGAGTTTTCAAAAACAAGGTCAGCACAGGGCAGGCTGGCTTAGGAGAATACTGCAGAGGCTTGACACACAACGAATAAATTGGGGATGAAGACAGTTCATGGCACGGAAATTCAATCATCCTGTAGTTTAGAACAGTGTTAGCACCGACAGGGCAGGAAAACACAGGGAAGACAGGGTTACACATCTCCACAAACCTACTGGTCCCTGTGCCAGAAATCATTCCTGGGAGTAGGAAGGAAAAGGCACGTGTGCACACATCCCCTCATTACTGGTTTACTCCCACTTCCCTCTGATTTCCACCTAGAGGCGTTCATTGTCAAAGGACAATGATAGTTAATTCAAATTAGAGCAGTGCCAGTAACCAAATTATGAAATCTGGATTTCTAACATAGCAGATTTGGGGGTCTGGTATGTATTAAACATTATACTGATTATATTAAGAAAGCTTAGTTCTTCCAAATGATGTTACTTATTTTAAAACACCACCCAGGGCCAGCCAAATGGCTCAGTTGGTAAGAGCTTGCTCAAGAGTATGAGCTCTGAGCAACAAGGTCGCCGGTTCGATTCCCACATGGGCCAGTGAGCTGTGCCCGAGCTGAGCTGCAGTTGAGCTGCCAACAGGTGGCAGGATGTCTCAGCTGGTGAGAGCACATGCTCCTAACAACAAGGTTGCCTGTTTGAGATGGTGGGCTACGTCCGCTCACAACTAAAGACTGAACTTGGCACCTTGAGCTGAGCTGCTGCCCAGATGGCTCAGGGGATAGAGCGATGCTTTTAACAACAAGGCTGCCGGTACTATTCCCTCATGGGATGGTGGCTACATTGACCCGCAACTAATTGAACATAGCACCTTGAGCTGAGCGGCGCGACTGGACTGAGAGCTGAGTTTGCTGAGCCCTCCACAACTAAGATTGAAGGACAACTTGGCTGTTCCCCTTCCCCAATGCCCCAACACTGTTCCTCTCCCTCGATTCCCCAATGAAATAATAATAAAAAAACCCACCCTATTTTTGAAGTAAATTGTCATCAGTGAACCTGAAGAGAGAATGAAGATTACACTTGAAATCTGACTTCTAACAGTAACTTTGAGGATGGTCTATACTCAAGCCACTAATCTTAAGAATCCCTTTTTTTTTTTTAAAGATTTTTATTGGGGAATTGGGGGGTGGGAACAACGCTGGGGAATTGGGGGAAGTGGAACAGACAAGTTACTGTCGTTTTGTTCTTCAGTCTAGTTGTGGAGGACGTTGCTTCACTGGCCCAAGTTGGCACCATCATTGTGCTCTTCCCAGGTGAGGCAGATCAGTCGCCGGCTTCTGGACAGCTGCTCACTGCGGCTGCTGGCCACTCACGCTGGCTGCTGGCTACACACAGTAGCCCATGGCAACCTATGCCACCACCGGTGACTCATGGCAACCCAGCTCCAGGTTGAGCTGTTGTTCAGCATCTTAGCTGTAGAGGGCAGTGTCACTGGCCCTCATATGTGGGATCTGAACCGGGGCCCTCTGGCGTCCCAAGCCAGCTCTTAACCAGCGCACCACTCGGTTGGCCCAAGTCCCCTTTTATTAACTGCTTAGTAAAGGGATATTTTCATATTTATACAAAAAGCTGAGAGGTATTAGTTTACAAGTGATAAAAAAAGGCACTTGCAATTAATATAAATTATATCTACATAAAAGGAAATGCACTTATTACTTCCTAAGACAATTTATTTTGACATTACGGTTTAGCAGGGAAGACAATTAGAAATTCAAGAACTACCCTATTTATGCAGCAATTAAGTAGGTAATTATTTGCTAAAGGCTTTACCTTGATCATAGGCCATTATTAGTAGCCATTATTAAAGAAAACCCATCCATAAATTTGTATTTCCCAAGTATGTTGAACTTCATAGTTTCAAGCTATGAGGATAGGCTCAGTGAGTTGACATTCAGTTCTAAGTACCTCTGATTAAAGAGTGGTAAAGAACTTGGTTAATATTTAGATTTGGAAACAAAATAGAAGTAAGCCACAACTTATGAAATCACAAATAGTTCAGTTCTGATTTAGCTTTTAGTATATTTATGTTTCAGTTAAGGCCCACTACTGATCATAAAATTACTAAATTATACTTGAGTTGACAACAGTTTCCCATCCTACTGGTTTGAGGAACCTAGTTAGGAATTATAATAATATATCAGAAGTCTACTAAAAATGACAAAAACTACCCTAGGCCTAGATTGGGTAGATAGAAAAATCACCACAACTTACGGATTTTTAGGATAGAATAGGATGAGAATAGGAGGAGGAAGTGGGGAGAGGAGAACTTGAACATAAGCACTCTGATACAAAGTGATCATCAGTTCAGAAGCCATTAGATGAAAACCAGAAACCTCAACGCAGGGCACCATGGGAAACACATGCTAACTAGCTGTGTATGTACATTAGTCAGGGCATAATAACAAACTACCAAGACAGCACATATCATTTCTTCTAAAAATGACTAGTGAAAGTGTTACTCTGGGAACTCTGGTTGTCCTGTAGTTTGGAGGGATAGGATAGTGCTGGAACTTTGGCCTAAGCGCTAAACTGCTGCTGAAGCAGACACTGAAATGGCTCTTGACATTGATCCATCTGATCACTTCCCCCCGTTATGTCCAGGAGAATAGATTTGATGGCCATTCTCTGCATTATCCATGTTTCTCCAATAAAAACTGGACATGTGTCATTCTCTTGGTCCCAGCATTGCTAGCCTTCCCATTTGTAATAGGGATGGAAAAAAAATAATTTATCATGAACAGATGATGAAATGAAGCAGGAAACAGAAACCTATTTCAAATCTGTTTCAAGGAACTCTGAACTTCCAGAACTGCATTCTAAACACCACACTTTGCCATTTTAATCTATTAACTCCATTATTAATCAGCTCAGACTAGGCATACTTTCCTTTTAAAATAGATTCTAGTTGAGTTTTTAGGGTGGTGGAAATAATAAATATTCTGGTCCTTTAACAGTTTTATTAGCAGTTAGGTTTAAATGGAGGCAGATTCAGATTATCTGTTACGAGGTCCATTTTCAACCAAGCAGTGGTTTAATTATACAGTCTTGAAAAAGACTTCTGAGCAGTAGGGTAATTTCAAAGCTATCTTTCTATACGCTAACCAATTTTTGCCACATTAATGTTTTGATCAACAGGTATAATTTTTAGTTTCATTAAAAATTTTAGATTTTATTAACAGCTTTAGAAAAGATGTTTAATTTTAAAACCCATCCTCCTGTTGTTTTTGATGTTTAGAATAGTTCGTTGCTCTGTAGGTGTCCCCTATTTACCTATTTTAAGAGAACACAAATATTAAAATAATGGCTTATTTCTTTATCAAATTTTTTACTTTGAGGCTGATTGGGTTTTTAAAGTTCAAATTCAAAATAGCTCTTAATTGCAGTTCTAAACTGGTGCCTGGCAAAATTCTCTTTTGTTTTGTTTCCGTTTATTGTTTGTGCATCAATAATTCCTATTTCTGGCTGCAGCAGAATACAATAATCAATATGTTTTGGCTGAAGGAGGGAGAGCAGCAGCTGTTAGGTGACTGAAATCATTCAGCTATTAGTTTTATCCTCGCAACCTCTCCAGGGCAGAAAACAATATTCCCTTCAAGAAATTTGTCTTAGGTCTCCCCTCATCCTCCCAGGAGAAATAAAGTGTGCATTTGCGACAAACAGCATAACTAATTCTGTAAAGAAAATAATTGAGCATTTGATCTTCAATTAACCTGTCAAAAAGATAAAAGACCTTTGGTAATTAATTTTAATAAATGCTACACTGACTCATGTGTAGGTTGTGAATTACAATCTACACAGATGCCAAAAAGCAGTGACTTATAGGCAGTGCAGGTTGTTTCTTAAAGTCAGTTATGTTGTCTAAAGTAATAGTCTGAGGTCGAACAGGATGGACCTGGGGAGAGCAAAGCATCCACAGTTCAGAGCAAGAATCATCAGTAAACTGACTCACTCCAGAGTTGATAAATAAATAATTGGTAGTTTACTCCCACTGAACACTAATCTTAATCAGTTTTGTGTCTACCAGATGGCACTGAGAATGATGAAAGATAATAAAGAATAAACAAAAGATGCTGCAACACATTAGAGCAGGAAAGCTAGTAAAAACTTAATTGCTTCTTTGTGGGACAGGGAAGAACTGGAGTGTAAGATGATGACGATTGTCATTTGGAAAAGGACAACTTGTTTTCATTTGTTTTTGGAAATGCTTTTATAATTAGTTAATCGTAAACTTTATAACTGGATAAATTTGTGAGTTGTGCAAACCGGTATTTTTTAGATTATGCACTAAAGAATACTGGGAAATATTTTTTTCTTAAGGACCTGAAGGAAACAATAAGTGGCTTCCAACATGTTCTTTGGCTTCTTTAAAGCCCAGTGGAGGACAGACCGCTTGTGACAGCTTTTTCGTAAGGGCAACCTCCTCTGTATCGTGATAAGATGAGGTAGTGTTGCAAAGCACTTAGCGTTGTGCCCGGAATATAAATGACTGCTTTTAATTATTACTATTGGGCCCTGTGGGGATGATCACATGAGTAGCTACCAACTTGCAGGCCTACGTGGTGTGATTGCAAAGGGCCTGGGAAAGGTCCCTGACCCTGCAATTTAAGATTCCCTCTCGGGGCTTTGTGCTCTATTAAATACAAATACCTCCTTAGCAGTCATTTATGCCTTCGTATGAATAAAGTTATTAGATGTTTCAGAAGAGTGGTGTCAAGAGTAGGAAAAAGCAACAAGTATAAAGCTCTTGGCACCTCTGAGGCTGAAGGCAAAACCCAAGGGACTCGGACTGGCCCTGATGCCCCACATGTGCACCAGCTGCTGAACGTACATCCTTCTCAGAATTTGGGAATGTCTGGGACGTGAAAATACTGCCTGCCAAGGGCATGAAGAGAAGAGCTTCACTGAAGATTAAGTAACCCCAGCATCATGGTATGTCTAGCCTGTTCTTTAGTGCCAGCATAGCAGTCCATGCCTTCCAGAAACTTCCTGCTTAGGTGAATGGGATATGCTTTGGGGAAGCCTGGGTAGGAAAAGGTTAGCTCCAGGGAGCAATCTTACTAACTGCAGAGAAGCCTCCGAGTATGCTTCTCCTTGAAACTCACAGGTTCAGGAGAGGCCTCTTGGGCCTCACAGGCAACGTTCTCCACGTTTCTCGCTTTTTGAACCTTCTGAGCCAACTAATATTCTGCCTGTGTTGCATGTTGGACCAACCATCTCCCTTGATTTTCCAATAATATCTACATGTCTTCCCTTTTCCTATAGCAAACATTTAAAAAGAACACCTTAAAAGTGAGTAGAAATTTTTTTGGCGGGGGAGGAAGGGGATTATACATAGATGAAATAGAAGGTCACTTCTTGCGGAGCAGATGATACAAAGACCAAATACTCCCTCAGTAATAACATTATCTTTATCTCTAAGTACTTGGAGTGAGAGTTTCACCATTCAAAAGAACCACTTCCAGAAAATCACTGCTGAAAAATGTAGTTGTCACTGGCCCATCCACCACAGTATGGCAATGATGATGGTTGACCTTTTGAAAGACACTGGGGAGGCCTGGCCTTGAAGAAATGATATATAAGGCTGACTGGAAAAGGATAGAGAGCATGGCTTGTTCCCACAATCCCTGGATGACCACCATGTCATGGAAGCACTCACAGAACAAAGGGGACAGGATATTAAATGAGGGTCTTGGGTCATAAAGAAAAAGTGAGTTGGGGCTGGGCATGAGTATAAAAGTTTTCTTTTCTTTATTTATTTAACTTTCATCTCCATTTGCCAACTTGATATATATATATATATATATATATATATATATATATATATATATAGAGAGAGAGAGAGAGAGAGAGAGAGAGAGAGAGAGACACAGGAGAGAGCATCACCCTAATGTTAATGCTGAACTTTAGATTTAAAAACGATATGTACACACATTGATATTTATCACAGAGCCTGTGCATTTTTCATCTTTGCCAGTGAAGGAATAAATAAGGCTTTCTTTTTAAAGCAAACATGTTGTACAATATTACATTCTCATGCAGGATTTTGTGGTATGTGAAATATATTATTTCATGCAGCGAAAGAAATAAAGTCAAGAATATACTGAAATGATAAAGATAGTAAAGGGAAGAGAAAATTGTAAGGTAATCAGGGTGAACATAAAAGGATTTATGAGAAAAAAGACCCTCAAAACAAAAAGCTAGTTTCAGCATATTGCCATGATATGATACCAGATTATCAACTAAGCCCACCATGCTTTTGATATGGGTTTGGGAGAACTGAAAATAAATAAAAATGCACCAAAGCACATAAATCAATCTTTATTATCCTCTTACCTAGGAATGCTGCCATGTTCATAACTTGACTAAACACACAGCTTGCAGGAGGTTCATCACCTGCAATACTTGAAAAATACGAAATGTTTTATTAGTACTCTATTAAAATTGATAACCCTTTGCAGTGGACTGAATGTTTGTGTCCCCTCAAAATTCTTATGTTGAAATCCTACCCCCCAATATGATAGTGTTAGGAGGTAGGGCCTTTGGAAGGTGATTAGGTCGTGAGGGTGGAGCCCTCATGAATGGGATTAGTGCCCTTAGAAAAGAGACCTCTCGTGTCCTCTTTCCACCATGTGAGGATACAATGAGGCAATGGTAGTCTGCAACCCAGAAGAGGGTTCCCATCAGAACCTGACCCTGCTGGCACCCTCATCTTGGACTCCTAGGCGCCAGGCTGTGAGAAATAAATTCCTTTGGTTTATAAGCCACCCAATCGATGGTACTTTGTTATAGCAGCCCAAATTAACTCAATCAGAAATTGGTACTGACAAGCGGAAGTGCTGGTATAACAAATACATAAAAATGTGGAAGCAGCTTTGGAACTGGGTACTAGGTAGTGGCTGGAAGAGTTTTGAGACATATTCTCAGAAAGTCTATATTGTCATGAATGGACTTTTAAAGGCGATTCTGGTGAGAGCTGAGAAAGAAAAGAGGAGTGCTGCAGAAAAAGCTCCTGTCTTCTTAGAGAATATCTAAATAATCCTAAACAGAATATTGGTAGACATATGAGTGGTAAAGGCCATCGTGATGAGGTCTCAGACAGAAATGAAGAACATGCTATTGGAAACTAGAGCAAAGGTGATCATTGTTATAAAGTGGCAAAGAACTTGGCTGAATTGTGTTTGTGTTGTAGTGTTTTGTGGAAGGTAGAACTCGGGAGTGATGAAATTAGGTATTTATTAGGTTGTTGGAAAACTCATGATGCATGTTTGCAACAGACGGCACTATTTCATTTTTGGAAGTACTACAGTCATTTGCATTTATGTTATTGTTATGTCATTTGACAGCTGACAGTTCTAGTTTCATTCTAAAAAAAATTGAGCGATTTGGTTGAGTTTTGGAGATTTTACAACAAGTTAAAAATGGAAAACCAAACTGTGCATTTTTGCCATATTTTACTCTTTTACTTCCATAAAGGGAAGAACGCGTGTCAAGCTTGTGAAAAGTTGCATAAAGTTTATGGTGACAGTGCTCTACAAGAACGTCAGTGCCAATGATGGTTCACGAAATTCCGTGCTGGTGATTTTGATCTCAACAATGCTGCTTGGTCAGGGAGGCCCACCGAGGT